TTTAGTTTTTAATATGTAACAAATGAGAATTGTATTTTAAAATAATTGTTGTTGTTTTTATAGTGATGGGTACTGTTTTGCAAAATCACGCAAGTTAATTTGTGTAGGTATTATACTTGCTGAAGTTCGAATTTGTGGCAAATTAAGCAAATGCTTAGTTTTAATTTCAACAGTGTAGAGCACATCTCTAGAGCCTCAGCACTATTCTCGCCATTACCATGGCAACCAATAATATGTATTTTTAAAATTCTCAGTGGTGCGTACAGATTAAACGATTGGCAATCTCAATGTTTTCTAATTCGTGTTTCAACCTAAAATAATCTTAACAGCAGTAGAGCTCCTTGTGAAAGAGTTCGTCTAAGGTAGTACTGCCACCTTATCTATTTCTGCCGCCAAGCAGTAATGTCAGCATTACTGTGTTCCGGTTTTAGGGAGTAAGGGTGCTGGTGAAATTACAGGGACATGGGACTTGTCAACTTATGTCTCAGGGTGACGGGCGCAGAGGCAGTGCCCCTCAGATCCTTGCGATTTAAAGTTCTGAGTGGCACTGCAACTGTTATGGACAGTGTAGCTTACCATCAGGCGTACGACTTGTGCGTCCCGTCACTAGATATTACATAAAAAAATACTATACGTTATGCGACTTGTACTTTATCCGACGTTTTCAATTCTAGGTTCGAATTTGTAAAGGTCAGTAACACAAAGGTAACACGAGTCAATTGCATTCTATAAAGTTACCCACTTTGTACCTACGAAAATGCATAATAAACATTACGTAATAATAGATACAAAAATATAAATTAATTCTCCTCCGATTGTCGCTTTTGTTAATCCCGAGGTGTCTTTCTCTACGGGGGGTGGCGTTCGAAAAGTTTTCAATTTGTACCTCTACGGTTGCATAATTGGGGAACTTTAAAATTTATTCGTGTTGCATTATAAATAAAATAATAATGGCAACGCAACGCGAAGACAGTATACGCAAGTTTAAAATGAAGAACGGTAATTCGTCTTCTGTTGGCCGAAAAACTCATGGATTCATTAGAGCAGTGATATCTTTTTATTGAGCATAAATTTTGTGTAGCCTAGATAAAAATTAACATTATTATAAAGGTGGGTTCGTTTCGTCATGGTCCATAATTGTATACTTTGTTGAAACTGTTTAGGACATTTGTTGTTACTGTAACTGTCGGTATCTACCTATAGAAAATAACATTTAGAAATCGGCATGTAAAAACCTTTCCTAAACTGATGACACATGATTTGTGGGTAATAAATAAGTAACTAAGGTAGTAAACACATCGATAAGTCACTAATATCTATAAATATAAATATCGTAGCTAAAACATTGCTTGCTGTGTTTTGATGTCAAAATTGCGTACAAATAGGAGATGAAAGATAAGGGCTTCCCAAACATTGCGCAGGCGCAGCTGTTGCTGTCGACCTTGTGTATTCGCGATCGATATGATTGTTCACTTTTTGCGCCTTTTGATCACGAACCATCTAAGTATTTACTTTATTGAGAAATAAAAACTATATTCAATTCTTACTACTTTTTAGTATAGCTTGCAATTTGTTCATGTTAGACGTTATTGTTAGTATTGTCTCGGCCTCGGTTTTAGGATCCGAGCAACGTATGTGATGTTGTCTAATATTTATTTATTTATTATTCAAGTAGATCTGAGTGGTTAGCTCTTTGGGCGGTAGATACAAATTCATTAAATGTACATTTGATAGGAAATTGCACCACGGAAGCTACATAATGGAATATTAGAACAAATAAACAGTAACGCAGTAAATAGAAATCTCTAGGAAACGATCACCTAAGTGCCAGTTTGCTTCCTTTCCTTTCACTGCGGAGAGCTCCAGGCACTGTTTGATTTTAACGCCTGGCTTATCATTTAGTTAGTAAACAAACATCATTACCATTTTGCCATTTCATTTGGAACAGATACGTTGAGTAAAGTTGCATTTGAATAAGCGCTAGTACCACAGTGCAAAACCATGGGCAATAAGAGAATATCAAAATCAAAGGATAATTGAAGACAACATTTCCAACAACAAAAGGCATTTCAATTCCGCTATCCCAGCAGGAAGCTGGCAGCTCGAGCAATTTGAGCAAAGCCACGTTTGGACGAATCATACTGTAGCCTAATGCATTTGCCCTCACAGGGCCTTTTAATTCTCCGTGATTTCGAACCTCATTACATGCAGCAAATTGGTGCTCAAAAGCGTGCAATTTTACTCGAGCTGCGGAGATGTACGGTCGATCGACGGCTGGTTATCAACGAATGACTAATAATTTATGGTCATCACGTTTAAGTGGGGTCTAACTTGAGGTCAGTTTATTGTAAAGAAATTAAAGATTCTTAATATTATGATCAAAATTATTCAAAAGGCTAATTACTTATACTGGAATGAGATTCCCACATATCGATCACGATTACTACATATATAGTTATGGTCGTATTATTTTCCGACATCTCTTTATCAGATGGATGACATAGATAGGGGTAAGTACTATAGGTTGTTTTTAAATGACAAATTAAGAAATTGTTCGACAGTCTATACTATAGATATAGACTTGTATAATAAGCATGAGTGCGATTTTAACTTTATGCACGTACAAAATTTCTACTTTATCGTTAATGGAGAAATATTGAGTGCTCGTAATTAAATGTATTTATGATGCTTTAAGATCGAAATAGCCGTCTTATTTTAAGAGCGTTGACACATCAACTGTAGGGACCTATTTATTACTTTCGCGAGACGTTTAATGGCAGTTGGGAGGTAATGATAATGTTTTACTTATTATAATTTGCTAAAATTGTTTGTGTTTGACTGATTGTCATATACTCACCAACCAAACATTTTTTTTGAATTTTTTAAATTACAAATATGTACCTATCTACTTACTTACTATTAAATTTGTATGCTGTATATCGTAACTAAAAGTTACTATGAAATAGGGATTCTTATCGCGCGATGTTGAAAAAATTTTTAGAAAAACCTCCATCATTCACAGTTACTCTATTTAAATTTCTATCGCCTATCGTTGATCTTATCGACCTTCGATTTGAAGAATGGGGCTAGTGTGCTCATTGGTATAGAAGTATTTTGATAGGTTTTTAATCTCGCATTCGATGGGCTATTTCAAGCTTTGATATTTAAATCAAGTGTTGGTATCGGCCGGCATCTTCGACTCTTAGCTATAATGAGGCGCGGAATGACAAACTACCCTCTTTCATCACCGCCCACCGGTGGTCACTTATAATGGGATCGCTAACGTGCGTATCCGGCGACCTATGTTATAAGATGGGACTCCTATTGTTGAGATAGATTAGACATATTTATGGTAATGTATGTTTTGGTTTTACTTGAACACAAAAGTTTCTGTGTCACTATTTATAGACTTATGCATGAGGACAATTATAACGAGTTATTTATGTATCTATTGGGAAGAAAATGATATTATTACATATAGGTTACCCACATAATAAGGCTATGATTTACTTAGCTTCCAAATGGGTAGGTATCGTTGTATTGCCTGTGTTTACTAGTAGGTTATTTTTTTATAATATCAAGTAACGGGACGAACAACGTGCGCCTGATGGTAATCTACACGCCTGTCCATAACAGTTGCAGCACCACTCAGAGCTTTAAATCGCAAAGATCTGAGTGGCACTGCCACTGCGCCCGTCACCCTGAGACATAAGTAGACAAGTCCCATGTGCCTGTAATTTCACCTGCACCCTTACCCTTCAAAACCGGAACACAGTAATTGGCGGCAGAAGTAGGTAAGGTGGCAGTACTTCCCTGGACGAACTCTTTTACAAGGAGCTCTACTGCTACTAAAAAGGTACCTGAATTGTCTATTTGCTTTAAAACAATTTCATAGGTTGATCTGGACTCCTACGGGACGTGAATTTATGCTCATCTCCAACTTCAAACTCAGTGAGAACGCAGAGTGTAGTTGCCATGATGGCGATAAGTCGCTTATGTACCAAACTACCTACTTGTCAGTGTGATGTTGGATTACATATTTTCAGGGTTTAGAAAAGCTGCCCTAATAATAGTAATTAACAAGGATTACTTAGACGACCTCAGAGGACCAAAGGTTTGCACTGTGGGCGCTGGACGAGGAGATCCCGGATTCGATATCTGGTAAGAAAATTTGGGATATATACTTTTCTAAATTGGTTCTGGTCTGGGTCTTCTGGGTAGTGCCATTGAGTGAATTCTGTTGCTGTTGGGTGTCGGGAATTACCTACTTTAAGAACAGATAGGTAATTAATTAGTGTAGTTGTAAAAAATAAAATATTTTATTTCCTCATCGGATTCTTTATCGGCTGTGGGAACAGCGGGGTTTCCGTAGGGTTTCTGTTTAGCGCCATATACACTTTTTATCGAGATTTCTTGTCTTTGTAATAATCCACAATAAACTGCTGTACATATTCATTTAATAAACATGTGTTTTATCTACAGAGAATCGTATTTTGAGTCTCATTACCTTCTTATCAATCTCAGCTTTTTGGGTTCCCTTTTACGCTTCACACGAAACAAAGTTTTCTTAATAAACAACTTTGAATGTAACATGTTTGGTTTACATACAATTACGTCACTATTCTTCGCACTGGTATCATAACATATTCCCGTTAGATGCAACGGTAATGTAATTGATGATCAATATTGCTGCACTCCTAAATTGGATGGTCATTCACTGTCGAGCTTCCACATCAGATTAAGCACTACAACAATTACAAGCTTTCATTTGGTTTGGATTAACCATGGATTAACTCATCATTAGTTGACGTTACTGTAAATTAAGTTCGAATTACCGTAAATCAGCTTCAACTATGCAATCAACGCAGAGTAATGGTCAATGGCCGTTTATATTATTGTGTTGAGTAATTTACGCAAACTATTTAAAATTAAAATTTTTGCGTGTGTGTATCAGAACGCAAGTAGACATAACCTCAAAAAGTTTGTGTCAAATTGCCCAGCCAATTAGTTTTACCGTTTTGCCCTGGTTTTTGTATAATTGTGGCTAGAAATAATTTAAAAAGTTGTCCTTAGCATTCATTTACAGTATTAAATAAACTATGGCTAGGCTTAGTAACGAAATAGTGAACGAAATTGTTAACAGTTGCTTGTATTTGTACAGTAAGCTGCCGAAAACAGGAAAACCTGTTGAAAAAGAGTGGACAGTACTTTCGTGTGTGGTGCAATATGATGTTTTAAGTGATAGATATGAGGTGGTCTCTCTAGGAACAGGCTCAAAGTGCATAGGAGCTGTTAAAATGACGCCAGACGGCACTTTACTCAATGATAGTCATGCTGAAGTTTTTGCCCGTAGAGGCTTCTTACTTTATCTTTACGACAATTTAGAGAGGAGTTTAAAGAATGAGCCCTCAATATTTACCCAAGAAAGTGGTAAGTTCGTGTTAAAAGATGACATAGATTTTATTTTTTACTCATCACAATTACCTTGTGGAGATGCGTCAATAATACCTAAGACAGGCGAAGAGGAACAGTTTGGAGATGTTATAGAGTCTAACAAACGTTCAGCAGATGATGGTCATTGTGAAGAAAGTAAAAAGTTGAAGTTAGAAGATGATATTCACAGAACAGGAGCAAAATGTTTACTGGATTCGGAACAAGATCCAAAAGAAGATGGAAATAAATATCATTTAGTCAGTCAAGTGCGAACGAAGCCTGGGAGAGGTGACCGAACACTGTCCGTCTCTTGTAGTGATAAAATGGCTCGTTGGACACATGTTGGTATTCAAGGAGCATTGTTAGATATTCTGCTTGTGAAACAAATTTATATAAAACATTTCATTTTTGGTGCTGGAGTACCTTATTCTGAAGAAACTTTGAGAAGAGCATTTTTGAAAAGAAATTTAGATAAAGAAGTATATTTAAAGTGTATACCAGAGGTTTATCAATCGTCTGTAATATTTGAATGTGTAAGAAAACAAGAGGATTTACGGCCAGCACCAGGAAGTGTAGTTTGGGCAAAGTTATATGAATCGTAAGTGCCTGATGCAATATTTATTTTATAATATTTGACAACCTCTATTATTGAGTGGCTTGCACATTGGTTTTCATAGTGTCACTATCTCTGAGGTCTGGGTTCTATTCCCGGCCTGCCAATATAGAAAATTATCTTTTCTATATTGTTTCGGGTCTGGGTGTTCGTGGTATCATTGTTGTTTCCAATTTCCATAACACAAGTGCTTTAGTTACTAACTTTGGGATTAGAGCAACATATGTGGAGTTGTCTAATATTTATTTATTTAGTATATATATGTTTCTTTAAAAGTAGAGTTTTCCTATCTATAGCTGTCTACACACAAGTAGAACCAAGTCTTCCTTGCCTTAGTACACAGGAGTATGGATGTATATAACATTGCATGTATAAGTATAGCATTGAACAATAAATATTATTTCAGGTTTTCAGAAGTAGCTGTCCAAGGACGAAAGTTAGGAGTAACTAAAAAGAAGGCCACCTCACCAAGTTCCTCTTTGTGTATCAGCAAATACAAATTGTATGAAAAGTTCCAATTAATCTTATCAATGGACAGAGTTATAAGAGAAAATGTGATAGGTGATAATTCACCTGATGAAGTACCTTATTCTGAAATGAAGAGAAAAGCTACAAGTTATCAAAATAGCTGGACTTCTGTTAAAAAGAACTTCTTCAAAATGTGGACTGTAAAACCAGATATGTGGAATTTCTGCATAAAGTCTTCTGGTCTAGTGCAATCTACACAGGAAACATGTAGTTGAATGTATGGGGTATGTTACATTTTAATATATTTTATTTTCATTAAAACATCATTTATGAATCGAATTCTTAGGTTTCGCAATTCTAAATGGCGTACATTTGTCTTTTTACATATACAAGTAAACTGTAAACATGTCACCTGTAAAGAGCCCAAAATCCTGTTTTCCAGCCTCCGTGGCCGAACGGTTACCATGCCGGACTGCCATGCAGAGGCCCCAGGTTCGATATCCGAGCTGCACGGTGATTCACGCTCCATACTAAGGCGGTCATAAATACGTAACTCCGAAATTATTATTATTTTTTTATTTTATTACGTTAAAATATGATTAGGTAAACGTAAATTAATAAAATTATACATTTTAAAAAATATTTGACAATATTTAGGTGTAAAAATGTCTCGCAGTAATTTTGTTTTTAGACGATGTATCTAAAACATTTTATACTGCGACTTTTAATGGTAAAACTGTGTAAATAATGATTATTTGTATTAACAATAACCACAAATGAATAAATTAAAACAATAAAAATACATAAAAAAGTTCATTTTACAAAATACAAACAAAACACAAATTATACCAAAATACATTAAATCTCAACAATATTAACTTTAAATACATAACAAGTCTAATACAGCTTTTGACAGTACACCTTTTTTTTTTAACAGGTAACTTTCGTAGACCTGTTATGAAGGGATCTGAATGAAGAAGCAGCCTATTTACTAAATCTGTGTTGGTCACAATGCGACTCATTTTACGCGTATGATTTTTTCTAAAAGACTTGATGTATTTGTTAGTCGCTTCAGCTGCTTCTTCAGACAACTCTCCGATTGACAACAAACCGTAATCTATAACATTAGCACCATGAATTAGAACTTTGTGAACGGAAGCAGGCATGTTATACCACGGATACTCGGCAACTAACTGCCGAGCCGTCTCTAAAGCGAACTCTTCGAAGTTCGTCTTATTAATATTATATCCCGAATTTAAACATTGAAGGATGATCCAGCAACGATCTAGGAGATCCTTCTTGATCCCAGTAATTTCAGCGGAAATTTCTGAATTCGAGAAAAACCGCCTGGCTGTATTACCATCGTTTGATGTTCCGCTTCCGCCACTTTTAGGCTTATCCACTATAAGCCCTAATCTTTCTCTAAATTGAGTCTGAACATATGATTTTTTTGCAGCAACAAGCATTTTGTCATTAGCGGACCTAGCTTGCCATTTCCTAACATCTAACTTGTACGCGACATGAACAAAATATTCAAAAAAACGTATTAACGCGTGAAGAGGTGATAAACCAAATTCATATTTACTCTCATCGACTTCCTTATTTAAACATTCGTCAATTTTGTTCATTTCACTGGGCAAGGCGTTACAAATAAAACATTTTGATGAAGAAACACCACTAAGTGCATTACACACTTTACCATCTACCATAGTAAGTTGCAAACAATGAGTAATGCGATATTCGCGATCTTCTTCCTTGAAAACAGTAGGCTGCAAGTTCCTTATTTTATCTTTAAAATGAGCTTCTTCCTCAACTGACACTGCAGTCGATTCCTTCAAATATCGGAGGCGTATAGGACGACAGTATCGAGTTGATGAAGGACGAGGATTTTTCCACAAAACTACTGAATTTTCTTTGTTATCTGTTGTCAAAACAAGCTGAAGTGGCACATACGAAGTAACAAACAGGCTACTGTCTTCAAGAGTGGAGTCAGAAAAACACTGTTTATATTCTGAATGCCCTGTACTGCCATCGAAACCCCATTTCCCTATCAAAGATATCTTATCTAGAGACTCATTAGGTACACTATCCAAAACATCTTTTTGAGACTTGAGAATCCGATTGGCAGTATGATCTAATAAACTTTGAAGTTCGACTTCGGCGGATGATTCTGTAACAGTAATATCTGAAGGATAACAGTGTTTTTTAGATTCCACGACACTTTGGTAAGATGGGAAAATGGTTTTTGAAAACTTATTGTCTATAAATTTCTTTACTAATATATATTGATGTCGAGTTAACTGAGCTTCAACAATGAGCGATAAAACTTCGCTAGAATCGATTTCAGGACAAGACAAGCTATCGGACGCATTGAGCAATGACTGTACAAGAGAAGGGTCTTGGTTAGACAAACTAGCCAATCTTCTCCTTTTTGTACGTTTACTGGTGTCGTCAAAGTTAATTCTCGGACGGCCATGCGATGAAGAAGTTGATGGTTTAACTTCGTCAAAGCTCTGAGATACACGTAACTCAGTTCGCTGTACATCAATATTTTCAACGACATGCAGCCAATCTGAATATTTTTCTAAGAATTTAGATCTAGTACGATTCGACTTTACCCAGTAGTGGGAAATTCGTTTACAAATATTCTTAATTTTAAGGCTTAAAGTCTCTAAATCAATATTTTCGATGTCGTCAGAAAGGGATGATGTTTCGGTCAAAGTGCTCAGGACGTGTTGCATTTTTTCATTTGGATTACCCACTTTAGAGTGCCAAATATCAAAAATTGTCATCCTCGATACAGAACATTTGAAAAATGTACCTAAAACAATATGAAAGCTGAACTTAAAAAAAAATTAAAAATTCAATACTATGGACATGCATACTTTGACACCCCTTTAAGCCAAGAAGAGGCAGCAAGATGCAAATGAAACTTATAGCTCTTAATAAGGACATACTCCTTATTCAAAAACCATATACCTCAGGTGCAGCTCAGCGCAGCCAAAAGTTGTAGGTCTAAAGGAAATTAAGTTATGCCAAAAATTTTCACCAAAAAACTGCCTTCAATAAAAAAATTATATAAAAAAAATATGCATAAAAAAAATTAAAAAAAATTGATAATAAAAGTACATACCATGCTCTTGGATCTCCATGCTTTCACAACACGTAAACACTTGATTTGGAATAGTGACACTCAAAAACAAAGTGATTAAGTTTCGATGACTCACACGTGGTGATAATTAGTCTCGCGATGCGCTCACTTCCGATGCACAAAAGTGAATGATAACGTGACCTAATTACATTGATATTTATAGTTTTTGGAAGCTTGTTAACTAGTTACTAACTTAGTGAGTTGATCTAACCGGGATAAGCCAATGATTTTTTTTGATTTATGGCCTATGGGGGAATCACAGTGAGAAATATTTGTATGGCCTACATTTATTTCTCTCGTGAATTTGGGTGTAGTTTGTGGTTGTCTATGTGTGTGTTCATGGCACCCGCGACACAGGGTTATCCTAGTGCGGTAGTAAAGTTTCATTCCCATTTGTGATATATTTGTTAGCGTGGAATCCCCACACTAACACATATATCACAATGATTGAACGAATCCAAAAATCATTTTTGCGATTCCTGTATAAAAAAATATACGGGTACTACCCTTACTTGTACCCTACACTATTTATTTTGGGTATGGTATCATACACATCACTGGAAGTCAGGCGAAAGCTGGCACTTGTCAAGTACATTTTTAATTTAATAAGGGGATATCTCAACAACCCCCAACTGTTGGCTCAAATTCCATTTTTTATCCCACCTATGTCGAGATACCCCCTGCGTCGGCGGCGACATCCCTTGTTCGCTATACATCTCGCCCGCACACAGGCGCTAAAGCAGACACCACTCTACGAGGCACTAGCTGTGATCGATTCTCTTAATAGGAATAATGATATCGACGTTTTCAGTTCTTCTGAACATAAATTTCTGACATCTGCTGGTCATTACTTGGAGGCGATCACCGCTCGAAGCTCTGTGGTCGAAATACCGCAGATTGGTTTCGGGCGGTGATCGACTCGGCTACTTTTTAATCGACTCGACTACTTTTTAATTGACTATGACTTACATGTTTAGTTATATGCTGTTAGTGTAAGTTGTAATAAATAAATAAATAAATAAATAATTTTTTTACGAATTTCGCTCAAGTAAACAGAGGCTCAATAATATATACTCTTTTTTGGTTTTATAAAATGGAACAACAGTTTTAAGATGTTTCAGGCACCGATTCTTAAAATACGAGCTATAGGAAAGGAGTCCTTAAGTTTAAGATTCTAAAGACTCGACTTTAAATAAGCATTACGCCGTTCGCGGTATTGTATGGTAACACGAATGCTGAGTCAATGTTTTGTTGCAAGTTAAAACTATTACGCGATTAAAGACAGGTAGCATTATGATATATTACGAGACCGTCGTATAGGCATTACTGTGTCACTCGATGTTGACTTTAGGTGCATTGACTTTTACTAATTACCATCTATTCAACATTAGTCGCATGGCGAAATGTAAAGGTGTTAACCCACTTTGCAATTGGCTATTTATCGTACGGTGCTATTGTGAGTTAATTTAGTAACAACTCTGTTGACATTTTAATCGCAATGTTGCCAGTGAGCTGCTGCTGGATAATATAATCGGGACATTTGTAAGATATTTCTGGTTTTAGTTACTGGGTTAAAGATACGTGACTAGTGCTTGAAATATCACGATGATAAATAAATGATTATAAAAATTTCTAACGTAATAATAATATAATAGGTGACGTAATGTAAAGTTCAAATGAATCGTCCAAATTTAAAACCTTTGTTCAGCCTTAGATCCATCACACACCTACGGATCATGGGATCCAAAATCCCGGAAAGGACCACCGGTAAACAATGACCAGAAAGAGGACGCGTATAAATGGATAAGCGCATTAAGGGTTAAATAAAACAAATGGGAGCACGTCAAAGAACACCCACGTACGCGGAACAGTTCATATGTTATTGATCATGGATTATAATAAGCATGACAACGCAATGAGATTTTTACAAGTGCCTTTAAAAATATTAAGAGCTTATTGTTCCGTTCTTTTATCGAGAAATTTTCTTTGCCCAAATTCCAATAACATATCGTAGTGACAAGAGTGACGTTCAGGTTATGTCTTTCCATACATGGACATTGTTAGAGTGTAGTGCAGTGGTGGTTAAAATTATAATTCAGCCTTTCCCAAAGTGGGCGATAACGCCCCCTTGTG